CTCTCTTTCCCAAAGTCAGCCAATCCGATGCCTCCTCCCACCAGCAGGACATTAGCACTAGTGTCTTCCAAATAAGTTATTACCCCCAGGCACTGTAGCCATGCAGGGTGGAGATGATGGAAACTGGGGTGAAATCCAGTGCATAGCTAAAATATGGAGCTCCCGGTTACCAGATAAAAAATGATGCTTGCTTTATTTAGCTGAGTTTAAGAACAGAATGGACAATTCTGTAGAGGACACAATAGGTGGAGAATGATGGTGTATAGGAGTGCACGGTGTGCTGGAGGAAGGAGAGAGAGAGAGAGAGAGAGAGAGAGAGAGAGAGAGAGAGAGAGAGAGAGAGAGAGAGAGAGAGAGAGATAGATAGATGGTGGTCAGACCAAGCCAGAGAAATCACAGAATGACATTTCATAGAGACAAGTTCAAAGTCCTTCACTGAGAAAACAAAACTCAACTGCAAAGTTATACCAAGCTCTTAGTAATTGAGGTTGTAAAAGTATCTTGGAACAGTAGTTGATTGGATAATTATTACAAGCTAGCTGTGTGATGTGGCATCACAAACACCCTTTTGCAATTTCAGAGATACATCAAGAGATACATCATTTTCAAGTCATGAAAAGTATCGGTGTTCCATTTCCTTTCGCTTTGGGTCCAGGTACAACATTGCAACCCCAAAATCTATTCAGCTAGTAATTCTGTCAAAAAACAAGATCAGGTTAATTTGGGGGTGGGTGGGAGAAATCCATGTGGTGCTTGTTGTATTCTTTTTCAAATACTTAGAAATGAGCATTGGTGGTGCAGTGGTTAGAGTGCAGTACTGCAGGCTACTTCTGCTGGCTGCCTGCAATTTGGCAGTTCAAATCTCACCAGGCTCAAGGTCGACTCAGCCTTCCATCCTTCCGTAGTCGGTAAAATGAGGACTCAGATTGTTGGGGGACAATAGACTGACTCTGTAAACTGCTTAGAGAGGGCTGGAAAGCACCGCGGAGCTGTACATAAGTCTAAGTGCTATTGCTAAATAGACCATTTAACAATCCACTCAAAGGCACTGTAGAGGTGAAGCTGATAGGTATGTAATTTCCGAAACCCTCTTTCTTTCCCCCTTTTGAAGATTTGCTATCCTCTAATCCACTCCCTTTTCCCATGCAACAGATCCACAGTCTCTTTGCTGTTTGGTGGTGTTTGAGGTCCTGGCAGTGGGGAAAGACCAAAGTGACCAAAGAAGTGGTTGGCTTTGCTTCATTGTTCAGGGAGGCATCTGTTGGCAAAGTTTTAATTTGCATTCCTGCATGGAGTAGGAAGTAGAATGGGATGATATCAAAGAACGCTTCCAGCTGTAGGACTCTATGAAGAAGTCGGAATGTGACCATTCACATTCCTAGGTCCTAGCCCACTTCAACAGAGGGGCAGCATCAAGATCATGAGAATACCGCTTGATATATTGCACTGGTAAGACCCCTCCTGGAATGATGCATCCAGTACTGGTCGCCAAAGTCCAGAAAAGATGCAGAGGCCCTAGAAAGAGCACAGAGAAGAGCAACAAAGACGATAAGGGGTCTGGAGGCTAAATTGTATGATGGATGGAACAAAGTATATCTAGACTCCAGCCTAACGAAGAGAAGGATTAGGGTGACATGACAGCTGCCTTCCAGTGTTTGAGGGGCTATGAGAGAGAAGAGGTTGATTCTCCAGAGCACCCGATGCCAGGAAATGAAGCAATCAGAGGTGGTCTTCAGCAGGTTCTGAACAGTTCTGGTAGCAGAACCAAGCCACGCCCACAGAACCGGTAGTAAAAAAAAATGGAGTCCCACCACTAGAAGCAATGCTTTGCTAGAGAGAGATTCAAACTGGAACTAAGGAGGAACTTCTAGAGAGTAACAACACTTAATCAATGGGACGCCTTGACTCCTGGAGTTCTGGGTGTTCCATCACTGGCGGTTTTCAAGAAAAGATCGACACCCATTTGTCCAGGGTGGTGTAAGGTCTCCTGCCTTGACAATGTGGTGGGACTGTCACTAGAAGACCTCCAAAACGCCCCTTCCAGCCCTGCACTTCTGTGAACGCTGATCAGGTGGGTAGCCACTGAGTTTTGGGGCACAGCAAATTCCGTGGCACAAGGTAAGCATTGCTTACCTCAACTTGTAAGTCGATCAGTAAACCTAGGGATCTGCTTTTCTCTTCTCTGTTTCCCTAATCAAACAAATACACTTGGGGAATTTTACAGATCATACGTAAAATAGACAGCAACGGAGAAACTGGAGTCGTTGTCCTGTAGTGACATATAAGATCTCTGCACCAACTCATTCAGCTGCAGGGACTGATCTCCAGATGACAACCATCTGCCTGGCATCCTTTCCAGTTTCTGCACTGAGCGGGCCTTTGCAATACTTACTCTTGTTTTTGCTGCGTTCCCATGACACGGCCTTGGTTTCATCATCTCCGGCCTGTGAGAGAGACAGCCACGCGGCTGCAAAAGCCGTGTTCTCCCGTTTCTTCTTCTGACAGCCTCCAAGAGCAGAGTCTGTCTGGGGAATCCATTAAGCTTTGACTCCCATTCCCTTGGAAGGAGATCAGGTTGCTGGCAGAGATAATAGGACAGAAATTGGCAACGAGGATGCTAATGTAGTTTTCTCGCCACCCCGATATGGATCCAGGATGCCATCGGCTCTTTCTCCTGGCCGAGGCAAGGTTCCTTTCTCCAATTCTGACCCAGAAAAGTATACTATAAGATAAAACCTACTGCCCCAAGGCATACTTTTGTGGTGACATCATAGTCAAGACAAAGGCTGATGGAATTTCCATGATCTTTCATTTCAGTGGGAAAGCATTCATCGGGTTCTTTAAGGTGGGCTAGAGGTAGAGAGACAGCGAGTTTTCACAGATGGGAGACCTCTTTTGGACCCAGGATTGACAGGATTCCAGGAGAGCATCAAACCATGTTCAAAAGCAGGCTGGAAGAACCACCAATGTACACGGGGAGCCATGTTTCCCTCCTGCTCCAATGTGCAGCCATGGTCTTGCGAGTGTCAGTCAACTGCCAGTCAGGCTGATCTAAACCTCAGAGCCAGGAATCACTCAGCTAGCTGACCTGCACTTCAGTGTCTATTATTGAAGGATTAAAAGTCTGTAGAGCAAGGGTCTTCAAGCTGTCTGCAAGGAATATCAATCCTTCCATTCTCCACCACCCAGTCAGAGCTGAAGAAGCTTCTTGGAGGAGAAGCGAAATATCTTCAAAAGAAAAAAGTCCAGTGGCCTCCTGAAAAAAGCACCTTTGGGATTATGCAGGGATGCACGCTTCTGTTTCAGTTCCCAAAAGGATCAGTCAACCAGCCTAAAAATGGAACAAATATTAAGTTTGGTCCAGAAATTCCTATTCTAGGATCATCATCTTCAGCTAACTAAGGAAAAAAAAAAGCCAAACTGACGAGCTTGCAGCAAACTCACTGCTAAGCTTCTCAAGTAAAACAAGCTGACCATCTGGGAGAAGTGGCTTGTCTGTAGACACGGATCCACGCTCCCAAGTCCCAAGTCCCCATGGTTTGGCTTGGCCTGTAATAAAGCCAGATACCAGACCCCAAACTCTCTTCCCAAGGCTTTCAGTTAGAAAGGCGTATCAGCTGTTGCTGGAATGCAGCCGCTTGTATGATCTTCGGGTCACGTAATAAAAAATTAAAGAGGCTGAATTTTTAAATTTCCTAACAGCGCAAGTTCACTCCGTGGACTGTTTCCTCTCCTCCTCTGGGTGAAGGCAGTCCCTCCCGAGGAGGCAAAGGCAAAACCACTGGAAAATGTTGCCAAGAAAATTGTAGGGTTACCAGGAGTCAACACTGAGTCAGATCAAATAAAGCTAATTCCATCTTCTTCAGAAAAAGGGAGACAGAACATAGAAAAGACGATAATAGGGTGGAAAGGGACCTTGGAGGTCTTCTAGTCCAACCCCCTGCTCAAGCAGTGGACCCTCTACCATTTCAGAGAAGTGGTTGTCCAGGCTCCAGTGATGGAGGACCCACAAGGCAAGCCATGTCAGGAGTTGCTTGCTCTCACCATTAGGCAATTTCTCCTTAGTCCTAGGTTACTTTTCTCCTTAGTTAGTTTCCCTCTATGGATTCTCAGTCCTGCGGGTCCTGGTTGTTCCAAAGATGCTCTTTTCAAGAGGCGACTGGACTTTCTAATTTTTCTCTGAAGACATTTCACTTCTCATCCAAGAGGCAGACAAGACAGACTCATCCCCAACAACCTGTGCCTGTGCTGAATAGTGAAGAGACACCGAGCAGAAAACATCAGCGTTGAAGAAGCTTCTTGGATGAGAAGCAAAACGTCTTCAAAGAAAAACCAGAAAGTCCAGTTATCTCTTGGAAAAAAAAATGCACCTTTTGGATTTCCATCCATTGTTTTTTTGTCTTGCCGTTTGGTGCTTTGGGAAATAGTTTGACTCCCTCGTCTTTGTGGGAGCCCCTCAAATATTGGAAGGCTGCTATCACGTCTCCCTTGGTCCTTCGGTTCATTAGACTAGACATACCCAATTCCTGTAGCCCTTCTTCATACGTTTTATCCCCAACTTCCTAATCATTTTCGTTGCTCTTCTCTGCACTTGTTCTAGAGTCTCAACATCTTTTCTATATTCTGATGACCAGAACTGGATACACTAATCCAAGTGTGGTCTTCCTAAGGCTTTGTAAAATGGCACTAGAACTTCACACGATCCTGATTCTATCCATCTATTAAGGCAGCCTAGGATGGCATTTTGGCTCCTGCCACACACACACACACACACACTTCTGGCTCTTATTTAAGCGATTGTCCACTAGGACTCCAAGATCCCTCCCACAGTTACTGGCATTGAGCCAAGTTTCACCCAGTCTGCAGCTATGCGTCTGGTTTTCCCCGCCTAAGCGTAAAACCTTACTTTTATCTACACTGAATTTCATTTTGTTAGATGGGGCTCAGGGTTCAAGTCCGTCAAGATTTTGTCTTCTGGGGCGTGGGCTATTCCTGCCAGCTTAAGTGTGGTCTGCAAATTTGATGAATTCCCCTATTATCCCCTTGTCTGGATCAAACCTTTGGGTGCTCCACTTTTTACCTTCTTCCATGTGGATGCAGTTCTGCCGAAGACTACACAGGGGGGCGGGGGGGATACGATTTGGAAGCCAGTTACAAGCCTATCTGGTGGTGATGCTGTCTAACCCACATTTTTCCTAGCTTACCCAGAAGTAGCTTTATGGGTCCACTTTATCAAAGGCCTTACTGAAATCTAAGTATGCTATGTCCACAGCGTTTCACTGATCCACTAATTCAGTCACTTTGTCAAATAATGAAATCAGATTTGTTTGGCATGATCTCTTTTTGAGGAACTTGGCAAACTTTACAACATGCAAACTTCACAGCTTGGTAGACTTCACAATTTGTTGCACAAACTAAGGAAAATGCCTGGGAAGATAAAGATGAAGATGGTTATATGACAACGCAGAGTAAAAAAAGAAAACCCAGGTAAGCTCCTGGCCTCGGAGTGCAACACGTCATTTTCCTTCTAGGAGCTCCAGGTGTGAGGGCACATGTCCTCCTCCAGCATTTCCCCCAAAACAGGCTGAGGGTCTGCAGTCACCCAAGGAGTTCTCCTAAATGAGGGTCAGCCTGAATTTGGGGCTCCCCGTTGCTTGTCCAACACCTTTGAACCCTGGACGTCATCTCGAAGACGTTGAGCGCTCTCAGATGCGTCCTTGAGCGCAATGGCTTTTTGAGGGAGAATTTTAGTATTGTAAACATTTCATAATTTAGCATTTAGGTCTTAATTTAGAGTTTCTTGCGTAATGTTTTAATAGTATTGGTTTTACATGCGTTTTTATTCACTTTGTCTTGTTTTTTTGCTCACCTATTAGTGATTTATTTCTCTTGTATAACAGTACAGCTGTTAGGCAAAAATTTTCTCAGTCACCCTAAGAAAGGATCTGATCTTTTGGATGGGACTTTTTATAATTTTGTTGGAGGGGCTGCACAATATTTGGGTCCTGCCGCAACTGGTGAAAGAATGATTTGTAGGAGAAAGATGCTTTTGTTGGAATAAAAGCAATTTGGAAGATGTGGCAGATTCTTGCAGCAGCTCAAAAGCCTGCAACTCAGCAAAGAGGACGTCACCTTCGATCTACCGAAAATAGATGACTGCTTTTCAAACAGGCTTTTTAACCCACGGTCTAAATCTGAAAATTCATTTTGAAATCTTCAATCTGACCATTTTTCGAGTGATCAAATACTAACCTGTTTGAACAAAGCAGGGCAAATTTGGCAGGTTCACTTCCAGTTTTTCAGAGTAAGTGCTCCCTCCTCCTCCCCCGCCCCCCCATCACATAATACGATGCTCCATGTTTTCGTGGGGTTTGGCAAGAGCACCTCAAAACTGCGAGGGCCGCTTGGGAGGAAAAGTTTGTTTTGCCACGGCAGCGCAGCCTTCCTCGCTGGAGCGCTTTCCACACTCCGAAAGCCTGCCGCTTCTGACAGCCGGGGCTGGGGGAAACCCTGATGTTGGCACAGCCCCTGGTGCCAAACCTCTGCTCCTAGCCACCCCATCCCCTCTCCGCTTCCCTGCTCCTGCACCTCCTACTACAACCCACCCCCGTCCCTCCCACTTCCTTCTGAGAGCTGCTTCTGTCAGGAGTGGGAAGAGACTTGTGGGATAAGCAAGCTGCTTTTCACCGAGTTGGACCTCGGCTTCGCTTTGGAGCCTTCGGCGTATGGTCTGACCAGGCAGCCCCGGACATCTCTGGGTCCCCCCATGGAGACCTGCCGAGGGGTGATGGTGGCCTGGGCTGTCAGCCTCCTGACAGGTAAGCCTGCCTGACCTCTGCAGCCTCCTGGGAAGACCTGAAGGCTGGGAGGGAGGAGAAGGTGAGGGGGTTGGCAGGGGGAGTGGGCTCGCTGGCTCTCTTAGCTGTTCCCTGACAGATGCCTCTCCCGGACGCTCGGATGAGGATGCTCCCTTTTTTTGCAAAAGGCAAAAGACCTCCCCTTCTTTTCCTATTTTCTATTTCTATTGCAGCTTTGGAGTTTGGCAGCTGGATAATTCAAAGATATTGATATTTCAATGTGTTGCTTTTGATACTTTCTTTGGACGAAGGAGGGAAAGGAAGGCATCCTTCAGGGAGCTTTTAAAGTGCTTTTGCTCATTCAAAGCCGGGGGTCCTCACGGGAGGCTTTGAGAGGGTTGGCTAATAAAATTTGCGGTAGCCACCTTCTCGGGGGCTCATCATTCTTCTTCTTCTTCTTCTTCTTCTTCTTCTTCTTCTTCTTCTTCTT